CTTAATGCGGTCCGTTGAGATATCAAAATGGTTTACGAGCCTTCGCATACTTAGTCCTCATTGGTGATAAAAACAGCGCTTCTGACTTATGAGGCCAAATTTCGCAGATCATCGGGCGTAAAGGAGCGCTATGCGGAACATCAATGGCGCCAGTTAGATCGAGCAGGATCACAGCCCTACCAAGATAAGATAGGCACCAGTACGAATATGCACAAATACATTCAGGGACCTATCTAATGAAACAATAAACAAAATTCGGAAACAGGTCTACGGTTAGGACGGATTGCTTAGGTGCGATCGTAATACAGAGCAGAGTGCGCGGTCCAATTTCGTGGGGTTTCAAACATGCCGGTATTTTGGCCTTCGAGTGCACGTATTTTCGGCCGCCTGTGAAAACCATGATCGGTAAAATGAATAGTTAAACAATATGCCCTATCACACAGTTTTCGATGTCCCATATTTTATAGAAAACATGCCATAAATGTCGTTTTGGAACTAATTTGGTAGAAAATAACCTTTATCAATGCCATACTTAATTAAATGAAGAGTATACCAGGGGTTTAGGAAGTATTTTAATTTCCGATAATCATTAGCTCATCTGCTGCTGTATTTCGTTAAACAGATGGCCTATACAAGTTAGCAATGGATGTGGACGATACCGCATACTCCATGAGAAACTTTAATAAACGAACACATACGATGACATTTGAAATCAATATTTTAAAGTCTTTAATAAGTACACAATTATTAACTTTGTATAACGAAAGCGTTGTTTTACTTCACTGGAGAATTGGAAGACGTTATCTACTATCAAATGAGTACAATAAAGAGTATATTTGCTCATGTCTTCTATAAGATACATTTGAGTTTGTAAGGCCATGTTAAAGGCTTTAAAAATGTCCACTACCGAATAATCATGAGCCCGATGGACCGTTGCATTTGCGTTTAGGGTTTTCAAGCTATAATATGTGTACTTTGCATGTAAGGTAAATCATACATTCATCGACAGCATTGAGTAGGTACCATACAATTTTAGGATTTTTTTAAAGATATACGTGGACTATGTTGTAAACGTATTGAAGAACAGACACGATGCTATTCGAATGAACGTTTTGCAGTTTAACAAATCTCATTAGGAAAAACTTACTCAAAACCGAAAGGCACGCTTTCTTTGAGTATAAAATTTCAAAAAGACATGATTGGCTATCAAAGGAGCTCCAAAAAGATATCTATATGCACATTTCATATAACATATATCTTACATTTCAGGGACATCAAAAATAAATGGGAGAAATATGTACTACTTAACTAATCGTTTTTTACCGAGTGTAGTTTTTGGCTGAAAAGAACTTTATTCAAAAGTCAGTATCCTATTGTGTCCGAAATAGTATGGAATAGTGCCACAAAACTATCGTTGTTACACCTTCATTGACGTAGCCCTTTTTAATAGAAACACCTTTAAGGAAATATTATCGGGCGATCCTACATATTATTTAAACGAATGGATCTACTGGCTTGGCAACAAAACCTGGGAGGCGTCTCCTTAGGAAGTTGAAATGTTTTATTTTCGGAATCTATTTTTAAAAAAAACAAAAGCGGCGAAAACTGCGGCATTTCGTGACTTTGTCAACTGCGGACGTTTATGATTTAATCCTAGAACAGGCGGTTCAATAAGAAGACAGTCTAGGGTAATTAAATGGGATAGGCCTGTACAGGGCACATAATTTTGGCCAGACATGCTTACCAGTCTGGTGTGAAGAAAGGGAGGAGGGTTGGTGCATTTATCGTAACTTGTAAATGCACATTTTGAGTTTCAGGGGAACACAACTTCCAGCTTTAGGTTGTTTCCTCTAATCTATATTCAACAGGAAAGCCGCAGTCTCGGTTTAAAATACTGGGTGATCATGCCCCCAAAGTCTCCTTTGTAGGAGAAGCACAGCTGTAATTTCTGGGCTCGTAACAAGCAAGAACATTCATATTCCTCATAATTTTGAAGGCTTACAGGAGAACATAAAAAGTGTTAAGAGATAAAGATAACGATAGTATCACAAACATCTCTTGAACGTCATGTGACAGCGACGTGCACCAGGACAGAAGAGGACAGGCTGTACGTCCGATATTTGAATCTAACACGAACTCAAAATTCAGAACACATTTGTACACAACTTTGCAATACCAAGAAACTGATTGACCAAGCAAAGTCAACACCTTAAAATGACAAGTGATGTGGCAAACACCAGGAGACGCACAATCAAATTAAACATGTCCGATGCCCAAGATAGACCAAATAAAAGCCTAGAAACGAGTGGCTGGCTAAACATACCGGCCTCTTCCCAATAAAAATGTTGAAGAGGAAAGCTGGTGGCCGAAGGCACCAATGACCGAGGAAAAGAGATGTAACTCATACGGGCAGAGGATAGGTTAGAAAAAAGACCAACCTCCAAACGTGTGATTTCCGCCTGCAAACGGGCCTGGAAGTCAATAAATTTGGCGATAGTCAGCTTCTCGTTGCCATCCGCTCCGAAGAAGTATTTGTGCAGAGCACTGCGAATCACCGGTTTCAGTGTGCTTCCGGTGGTTAAGTGGTCGCGATGACGTTTGCCCACGGCAGTAGTGTCCAGGATGACAGTGCGAACCTTCGAAAAAGCAGGGTTTTCATTTAAAGGGTAGCAGATGAGGGTAAACGGCATAGTGTAAGCAGGGGTGTGTTGGCAAAATCGAAGGCGCGGAAAGGGGCGAAGGCGGTAGGCCTGAAGGGCAGTCAGGCTGTGTCACTCTCCATTGCATCCCGCCCGATGTCGCAACACGCCCTTCATGCGTTGACCTTATTTGACACTAGACCACATCCTGCGATGTGACCTTATCCTACAACACGAAGCACAATTCTCGAGGTAAAAACCGAGGCCGAGATTCCTACCTCGGCACCGCCCTCGTCTATCGTCCGAAATCAGTCCCTCGTTCCAAAGTAAGTGTTCGCATTCCGAAGCCCTATTTGAGGTATACGCACTTCATGCTTGAAGGCGAAGGGTCTATTATTACCTTGACACGAGCAGTTAGAAAACAGCGTTGACAACCTCCACTTCCTAATTACACAAATAAACAATAAAATGCCTACGGCGAGCGCGTAACACCAGATGCAAATAAATTGAAGGTTATAACTGTACTTCTTACGAGTAAAAACGTTTTTTTAAAGCCCGACATGCAGAGAAAATAGATTTAACGGGCCGATTTACCGATTACAACCCCAATTTCTTCGGAGGATATCACGGATTTGATTGTGGACTTGGATCGTTACATAGATGAAATAACTCACACAAGCCGATAGCAGTAAAGAGAAGCTATAACGTCCGCGGAAGAATAATCAAACGAACTATGGAGGAAGCTAAGTGTACAACATATTTAGTTGATCCAATTGACATCGTAGCTCAAGTGGGTAGAGCGTTGGCTGCGTAAAAGGCCTCCCTCCTATGCGGGTTCGAATCCCGCCGAATGCCGCGAATTTTTTTACAATTGGATCAACTAAATTAACCAAATCTGCCAAACCAACTTAATAGTACAACATATTGTCAGGTCTTAGGGCGAACATTTTGCGGTTAAGACCCGCAACAGTCAGGTTGACGCAGAGGATATTAAGATTTAAAGGAGAAAAGGATCCGAGTCCATGACTTGACCCTCATGAATCAAAACAAAAAACATTGCATATGTTTTAGTCGATTGGTTGCCCTACCGACATAGGATTCATAAACCATATAGGTGAGGCGCTATTGCATTAGCCGGCTACCTGGGCTTCGATGGGTACAAAGGTCGGCTGCATCCAACGGCGCATTTATAAGAGGTCGGGCGGGTTCTATCAAGTCGAAAACGTAGAAGTTTCATTGCAGCCTATACAAACAGTAATAAATTTATTCTAGTTAACCAACTAAATGTACGTCAAGAGCAGGAAGTTGGGTCACAAACGGAGAACAGCTAAACGACATAACAACAGATAACGTAAGGTCTTACACTGTCATTAATAATGACGATGGCGCGGGTTACTAATACAACGGCTGTGGTGATGGTGATGATGATGATCTCGAACGGGTAGAAGCATGCTTACGAGCGGTCTCACGTTTAAGGGTATGCGAATAGGTTGGCTAATTGGGACAGAGTTTGTGGGCAGGTAGTTTTCACGATTAATTTCGTCATGCTAACTCGCTACTCAGACTATTTTCTATCTCATTTCTACTACTAATCTGTTTTTCCTTTTATTTCCAAAACGCCAATTGTGATATGAATAGAGCCCAATTCTAGGGCACTCATAAATTCTGATTCTTCTGTCTGTTTGGCTTATACTTACTCAATCGGGCGATTTTGTCTATTCCGATTACGACACACTTGTGGCATAAATGAGGCCGGACGACGCATATAAATTCTTGCGAAATCGCACTGACTGAGCATATACTCCCTTCTGTGGACAAAAGATCGGAGAGACCCTGTGGCAGGAGAACTGCTTGACAAAACAACGCGAGGAAACACAACGCGTGGGGTACTGTCAAACAAGTTGAGGAACAAGTCAAGTACAGAATCTACAGAAACTGTGCCGATTTTTATCGCAAGAAATGGATTTTTGATGCAGCCACTGACACCTTGTTCGATGGAAGGAGTTCCAAGTGACTTCAATGTGAGAATTAACGGTACTTTGAGAACTCGGGTGGAGACAGTGGTTGAAAACAGGGTAGGAATAATTTAGTAATAAGAGTATCCTGAAGCACGACGTTACAGTTCACGTTCACCGTCGTGCATGTAATTTACAGTGATGTACTTCAGCCGGCTTTCTAGCCACCTAACTATGACTGCTACAAAGACCGAGAGGACAACTTGGTTTCACTCATTTTAGAGAAGGTCGAAATACATGGTCGACCAAAAGAACGTAAACTCACGACATTGAACTCGTTGGCATCTAATTCTCCATCCCCGTTGATATCGAACATGCGGAAAGCAATTTCAAATTGCCGTGGCGGAGCTAGGGAAAAAAAGGAGAAAGAGTGAAACATTACAAATGTTCAGCAGGAATGGAAAAATGTCATTTAAAAATCACAGGCTGTTATTATCAACGTATAGCATGCAGGTTTTGCCCCCCAAACGGCCCGCGTAGTAGATGCACTAGATCAACGGGGAATAGGTCAGGGCACGGTAGACGTTATTCAGGTTGCACTTCCAGAACAAAGGACGAACATGGGGGTGTGATGACATGCCTGGGTGCAGGCTCACGCCGCGCCAATCACCTGCGCCCAATCCCGTCTTCTTGGTTCTGTCTTGATACCAATCACAGGTGGGTGAGGGAAGAGAGTGGGGTAGGAGCATCGCAAGTCGACTATCACTTAAAACCAATCATCAAGCAAGTGGCCGTCCCTGCGTCACCATGCTGTAGAACATACACTGAAATTCTTAAAATAAAACGGTCGAATTGTCGATAGCATACAGATACGACACGTGAATCGAATAGTTCAACCCAAGTGGATAAAAGCACAAAATGTGCCAAGCGTGGAGTTGGAAAGCCAAATAACTTGATAGTAAATAAACGATAGTAGTGGAAAGGAGAAGTCTAATAGTGTAGGAGAACCTTAGTCATTAATTTGTCAACTTTAAGATGAAAAAACAGCACAACAAGAAGTTTCTTTAAAATAGGTATGCATTTGTTCGGCGCGGCCGTTACTATATTACCCATTTGTTGCGGCCAAATCGCAAATTCCCCTACGCATAGGAGTTAAATGCGCTTAATAGATATTTTGAAAGGAAATCGGTACCGCCCTGCAGCTGCTTGCTAACAATTTAGACTGGGGAATTTATATCATCGTAGTAGGACTGTTTCGAAAATAGGTGTATTTGGCAAAAAATTACTCTTATGGCAATATGACAGTTGCCTTTGGTGTCCTTTCAAAGAGTTCGCATGGTTGGTCTTCGCAAAAGGAAACGCGTTCAGTTACGGAATGTTCAAATAGTCGCTAGTAGAGTAACGTTACAAAGACCTGCTTCGTGGACCGAAGTACACCAGCCTAAAGACCATGGATGAGGTATGGGCGCTTCCGGAAGTTAAGTGTTCTTCGGGACATTCATAGCTGTACTAGGTCCCGTATATCCGTTCTTTTTGGACAGTTGCCATGACGAATTACAAAACAGTTGTCGTTTCAGAAGAGTATCCTCCTTTTCCATTCAAAATACTTTGCATTCTCCTATATTTATATAGCACGAAAGTACTGAAGGGAGTTAATGGTGAGTCCTGGCCCCTTTTTGCTTTTCCCTTCTCTTTAACGACAGCTCCCGCGGAAATACGAGACACTCGCACCATCGTCACTGTGGAGCGCCCTGGATTGTCGTTATCGTTAGTTTAGGATGCAGAAGGCACAAACTTTTCACCCATACATAACTGGAAAATAAATGGAAAATTTGACCCCAAAAACCTGGGAATATGCACAACCTGTCAGCCTTCAGTCACCTTCGTTGAAGGCGAACGTCGATTGTGCTGAAAGCCATAAAGCATGCGGCCACGAGATTTGTTTGTCTCGTGCCTGACTTAAACTGACCTGGTCGACGGCCTTATAAATCTGGATAACAGACAGAGGACGATAAATGCAGAAAGCCAGTCTTGAGGAGGTACTTTACCTGCAAAAGCTAGATAGAGAGAAGTGCAGAGATGGCTAGAAACGGTCAACCCATAGCCTCGTTCTGTTAGATTTTGTGTCACTTTTCAACAGGCGGTTGTCTGCTTGCAGTCGTTAGGACTAAGTAAGCTGAATTGATGTTGCAATCTAGCCGAGTCGGACGACTGAGTAATGCTTCTCAGGCTTTATTATCTCTCCCAAATCATCAGCGTCCTCCGGGGGGTTGGAAGTCGTCAAACATGTTACAGGCCCGATTCCAGACGCGATGGAGAGCGCTCCATCTGTGTGGTTTCTGTTCCAATGTGGCCTTTTCTGCAGGCGCCATTGTCAAGGCGACCTACATTGCTTTATTGTCCGCAGAGGTGTGGATAGTTGCCACTTGGTAATAGGCCAGGGAGTACTTGCTCAACTCTTAAGAATAATTTATCAGCACCCGTTGCCTATGTTTCTCCGTTTGCCGCGTAGATCGGTGTGCTCATCTTAATATACGCCCTGGCAGCGGCGTACTGCCAGACCGAGCCCTCTAGTGGCGGTGCCGGTCCCTAAGGATTTGGCTGTTTCTCAGTAATCGAACATTTTAACTGTTTTGTTGGTGCTGAAAGTGCTCAGAACAGGGTGTTTTTGGAGCGATAAGTTCCTATTAGCGTGTTCGGTCAGTAGTGAAAGAGTATTACCTGAAAAACGGTCTCTTTGGATTATCGTAAACAACCCTTCAGTCGCATGTCCTGCTTCTAGTTCTCCCATCGTTGTTTCAGACGTCGCTTGAAACCAGGCAGTAGCAGCACGCTTTTAGCCACAGTGATGTAGATTTTGCGAAGATCTGTGCGACTGGTGACCCAATTAATAAATTGCATTATCCCGACCCTCTAAGTTGGTTGCTCTAACATCGGCGCACTTGTGAAGATACCAATCCAATACATTTGGAGGTGATTTTTGTGTCTGTCTTCACATACAAGAAAACTAGCAAGACACGGGAATAGGAACCCCGCCCTTTCCAAGGACCGTTGAAGTGCATATAGAAACAATAGATGAGCACTCGAATACTAGGTAAGCAAACATGTTAGGTAATATCTGCAGTAAGTACTCACTTGATATGACGGTTAGAAGGAAAACGAAGTCTGTGAACGATATGAGTGCGTTCTCGTCGAGGCAATAGAAGACGGAGTCCTTAGGTATTGACAGATTCAGTTTGTCGTGCTGGAATTAAAGAGAAATAAATCGTTAAGTGAGTTCTGGAACAGACGCTGCTAGTAAGGAAAGAGGGTTGACACCACTGGGTGTGTAATCATATGTGTAGAAAATCAAATTGGTAGGCAAGATCCTTCCAAATATTTATTTTTTTTGGTTGAGTCGCAGCAAACAAGCAGGGAAGACTCCGAAATGAAAGTGTCAATTTCCCCAAAATATATGCTCTTGTCTGCAAGCGCGCATTACCGAGTGCATAAACGTCTAATAAGATGGAATGAAGTAGAGGGCTAATTAAAAACGCCAAGGACGTTTAAGGTTTTTAAAGAAAAAAACGAAAGGGAACAAACGTTAAATTATTTCACAGTTCCCATTGGCCAGTATATTGCCGGCCGGGTGCAGAGCAGCCCTGTTTATATTGCAGCAACATTACCCTTAGACGACAAAGACTTGCTCAGCGAACATTCGTTATCAGAGTCAGTTTTATTCTTGTGAAACAGCACAGGGACGTTTGAAGTCCACGATTTTTACAGGATCAACGACTTTGGGTCGGTGATCTTTAATATTCGACATCTTCTAAGACAAACGTCTGTGCTCGTCAGTGTGCGCTTTCAGATCCCGAGCAGCCTGTTCGACGCTAACCCATGTTTAGCATCTGCTGGTAGATTTTTGAAATTTTTACTCCGTTTCCGAGTATGTTCGAAGACCCGAAGAGTACTCCCAAAGTAACTGAATTGAGCCCGTATTTTGGAAAATGGGTAATGAAATTTAGGGTCCACCTTCGAACTATTGCACAAGGGTTTACTAGACAGCAGTTGCTAGCTAGTTGCTATTTGAGAAGTTTCCTTATTCTGCAACAGCTTTTGCAGTGTAAATAAGCACATAGCACTTTCTATTTGCGTTTGAAGAGTGATATGATTCCTACTGTAATTGGCAATCATTACTTGGTAGTTTTCAACGTACGGTAGTCTTAATGACGCTTTTTGCGTCCAGAATCCAAGAGAACAAAAGAATAACAATCCAACCTTATTTCACTGAACCTTTGCCGCGAGTCGTGTGCATTCACTACGTGAATTCAAGGCTCCTATAAATTCGTACAGTTGTTGACTTTTGAGGGTGGCAAAGGTGCTGTTGACACAGCGCCTCAAAACGTGAAAGAATTTTTCGGAGGTTTGCAGCTGATGTTTGTTCGGAAACTCCTATAGACAAAATCGTGTGCGTGGCCATCCACCCGCCGCAAAGGCTGAATGCTCGTGTAACCTCATCAGCTAATGAAATGTTGAGTTTCCCGGTCAATGGTAGAAGATTGAGAGTAAGCGCAATCGAAAACAAAAACGTGTTCCTTTACAGCTTCTCAACGGTTTTATATAAAACCTCATGAATTTTATGACTCTCATAGTCGTAATTAGTTTCCGAAATTACAAGGGCATTAACCATCTTCAAAATGTGGGGTCGATAATCGTTTCACTTCTAGTAGAAAAGAGCAGTTCTCAATGAGACGACTAAAATGCCAGGGACGATGGAAAAATGCAAGAAGCATACCGTATTCTGCTGCGTAGGCCACGGTTTAAAGAGCCTCTGCAGCGAAAATCTACTGCGCAGTTTTATGCCTATCGAAGAAATGCAGAAGACGGGTCTTACTTCCGGCCGAATGCTCCGTAATTATTATCTAGACAAGCGGAAGTTCGGGCAAAATACATTTGACCTACGCCATATCGGCCACTGTGCCATTCGGTCGACCAATAAGCCTGAAAATACCACTGATGCAGGCGAAAGTGAAGGGTGAGACCGGTAATGAAGTATCCTGCCTCGCCGTAATTCAGAGCAGTCCGCACAATAAGAAAGACGCGCTCCAAACTATCATGAGCTAACAGTCACTGCTTGCAAGGCTACCGAACGAGGGGATAACCCCATCCTGCTTTGGAAAGAGGGTCAAACTATAGTGGCTCCTCTTATGTGAGATCGAAGGGCACTCTCCTCTGGGGCCGGTATACGTAAAGTTAGGGACCAGGCCGGGTAGGGCACATGTAGAAGAATTAAGTACATTTGCCAGTCGGTGCGCCCACCTGCAATCTTCTTCTTTTTGCCTTGTCTCGTACATCAGCTGCCCACGAGCTGAAGACGCACTTGTCGACATAAGACTAGCCGAGTGATCTTTGGGCCACATTTTTAACTTACAGCTCTAACAGGCTGGGGTTGGTAGTAGTTGCCCCTGTCTATTTTACGCCTGTGTACATGTGAATTTGAAACCAATGTATTGCTTTGTTTTAGTCGACAGGGCGACATAAGGTGCTGATGAAAATGAAGCATGCTGGACAATGTAACACTTAAAACAAGTGCCTGAACGAAAGCTACCTTGGGATCGAAGCGTCTAAACGAATCAAGTTCCAGTCCGTCTGGTTGTTTCACACCGGGGGTGATTGCACGTAAGAAGTCGTCGGGAGTCATGTAGATTTCTGCTGTCCCATCCTCTTCCATGCACTTTAGTGTGGCGAAGTAGCGAAATATCTTGTCCGGCGTCGAATAGGCCCTAATCCGATCTTCGTAGGCGATAAACTAGAAAATAAATAAATAAGCGCTGGTTAAGTAGTTGGACAGAATGGATTGTAAATAAAACTCCACTTCCTGTGAAGTAATTTAAACAATGCTGAGGCTTACTAAGCACACTATCATACAAATTCGTCAAAACTGAAAGGCACGGAGAGGTGAAATATCCCTCATTCTCCTCCTCCTGCTTCTCTCTTTTATTTTCAAATTTTCGTACAAAAAAACATATTTCTGCATCTGATGAAAGGTCTGTTCGACTACGTTACAATGGCCTTTACTCTATATAGTCCCTAGCAATATTTATATCTCCGGGAGTGAGTCAGGATAGATGTAGCTAAGTTCAAAGTGGTTTAAGAAGGACAGGTCCAGGACGGTCAGAACCACCCGCATTCAAAATGACTAAATTAGTTAATAAAGTACCCCGCAACAACAGGTTGGACGTCCTTCAGGTCAACATTAATGACATTACAGAGGCCTGTAGCAAAGAATTCCCTTTTCTAATCCGTTACACGACTGGAGATGCCGCTTGTGAGAAGGCACGCCCATTTTGGTGTTGTCTTTTTAACGGTCAAAGGACAAAATTGTACGCTGGTAGTAACAGTTACAGAGGCTACTGGGGGAAAGAGCCCCCGCGCCCGGCGTTGTCATATTGTGT